TCTGTTGCACACCTGACATTTATGCTTCTTAAATGGACAAAACCGTACATAATGCCAATCGCCGCATAACCAACAGGCATCAGTTGGTTTGTTATGAGTTTTATTGGGCTTCTGACTTTTTAACCTAGTTATAGCATTTATACTACTGCAGGTCAAATTAGAATTTACCTGTTCAATTAACTGATTGTCGTGTCTGATGTTTGGTAGTCGTTTACACTCATCTGTCAATGTCTTGAGTGTGACGTTTGGGTCTTGATCCAAACAAGTTAGAAGTCTGGTTCTAATTTCAGCATCTTGTGGTGACTGCAGAGCTTTGATGAATACAAGGCATTTAAATTGATCTTCTGTCAACGAGCGTAACTTGAACCGTTCACACTCTCTGTTGACGACGTCTGCTAGGGCACCATATTCATCGGCTTCACGTTTCACAAAATTCAGACACTGATATCGAATACTAAACAATGAGGAAGATTCGCCGAATATCTCTGACAACTGCGTTACCGTCTCCTCGAAACTAAGCTCTCGAGGTAACTTTGGCAATATATGATCAGCATAACATGCATGCTTATTGCTTCCCAACTTACGCATCAACAACCGAGTCTTCCATGGGTCATCTTGTTAACAGAATTCTATTCTAAATGTATCTTCCCAACGCTTGAACCACGTGAGAAAAGTATTTCCACTTTCAGGATCATATATGAATTCTGGGATGCTGTTAGCAACTGCATCACAAGAAGTACTTGAAACAGCATGTGAACTCGAGTTTTGGATGCTAAACTGTTGCATCAGAGTCTCCAACAACCGCATTTGTGTAACAAGTTGTGCTTGCTGTTGTTGTAGTATTCGGCTGAGCTGGTCGTCTGATATAGGCATTTTGAATGAATTTTCCTTTTTCCTCGTCGCCACTGTTATAATTGTATTTTTGCTATATAAACGACCCAGCTATTCCTATTGCTTAGTATTCTTATACGATGACACTCAACAAGACCATATACTACTTATGTGGATATAAGTAGACTACACAATATTTTATTTGCTTATTTCTATATTCAATAGTATAAAACTCATTCGGTTTAATAATCAGTGCCTTATGGTTATTATAATCTTGTGTTATTTAGATCAACCAAAATGCTCAGAAACTATAATTTAAGAAATTTCTTAGACCTAAAAACTCAAATAACCATGTAAGTAGGGAAGACATTTTTTGTGTTAATTTGATATATTTGAATAAAAGTACAAAGACTTAATCAAGAAAGTGACACCCTTGTAACTAAAATATTATGAAAAACAAAAAAATTCACTGACTTTTTGACTAGTTGGAGATGGAAAGGCTCGACTTTGTTTGTATCTATCTTGATGTAAAACTTCAGGACTCAACAAACTACACAATCCTCCATTCTAAATAAAGAATATCCATTGTAAAGTTGGTCGATAATATAGCTTTATAAAATTTAAACCTGTATTTTTTTATTCATGTGACATATATGAAATATTAGCAAACTTAGGAATATGTTTGGTTATTAGTCATATATTTACATATAAAGAAATGATATCCATCGACTCATATAAATTTTAAAATGCAAAATTTTGAAATTACTTGACCTCATACGTCTATCGACTTTATAAACATTGTCAACTAGAAATGATTCTATTCGTTCCAGATGACTGAGTTCTCATTTCTAGCTATCCATGACGGTAATCTCCGTTTAAATCTATTTGCATTTTTTTAAATTGAATATTCTATATTATAACTACTTAAACACATTACTAGTAGCATCAAAATATATTACAAATTTGTTTGTGTGAACAAATAAAAAGTAATGCAAATTCAAATATAGGTTGTACACTATCTACGTATGATACACTAAAACAAATTATTTGGAGAATGTAAAAAATATTTCAGTATATATTAATTCTAATAAAAATAATGAATAGTTTTAAGAATGTAAACAATTTACATAATAATGAATGTACTCTATGGCTATCTTTCATGATCGGTAAACTCATAAGCTTACTTTATTGAGTTTGTAGAATTATTTAAGGCGACCTAACACCTATAGATCTTTGAAACATTTAGAGATCATAATGAAAATTCAGGATAAAACAACATAGAGAATAATAGAGTATACTCACTGAACGTTAACAACAAGAATGTCATTTATTGGTAGGCAAATAACATTATTAAAAATACACCATATCAAACTGAGATTGACAATATGCCAAATAATTGCAATGATGGCTAGAGAAAGCTATATATCATGCAAATTCACGAAATCATTTGTTCCTCTCATTCTGCGTTATAATCTTATCACTTTAGAATTTGTCAATTAGTTATTGAAGTAAGAAACCACTATAACTTTCATAAAATAAATCTACAATAATACAAATGATTTCGTTATTGACCGGGTATCGTTATTTTCTATCTATGATACTTGAGTTAAATGTGCTTATTCTACATTTCGTAAAATAATACGTACAATTTCCGGAAATTATGTCTTAAAAAAATAAGTAGATAACTAGATATTAGTAACTAGATATTAACATTTAAAAGATAACATATCTTTCATTAATAAATACATATGATTCAATTATATAGGTCTAGTTAATTCAATCCAACATTAATTCACTAGAATTCTACACATATGACGAGACATTCTAATTCGAATGTAAAATCATATCGGTCAAACTATCGAACTCGATTATGTAACCATATAAAATTAGCTAAAAATAAACAACATATTATCCATTGAAGCTTAGTCACAAGCCATTTCTCTAACATACATTGACATTAGTCAAATAACATATGTAAGCGAACAATTGTTTTCAATTAGATCGTCATCAGGCTTTACTCTAATATACATGAATATTTATATGAAAATGTTAGACCAATCAAGGCTATTTGAGTCAATAATAATCACAATGAAATAGAAATACGTTACCAAGCCTAATAATAGTTAAAAGTACAAGTTGATAGTGGGAAGACAGGTGTACTGATAGTAGTAAGAATAGTAAATTACTATAACAAAAGTCTTATCAATAATTAAACATAAGAATTAAGAGGTCAAACGTGGGTAAATAGTCTGGAATAGTAATCACAAAACATCATTACGTAATAAGAAGTATGTAAGTAAATAGATAGTGAAGAATACAAACGTAAAGAGGTAGAAAATTACAAAAAACTGATAACCAAAATAAAAATTTTTTGCAAATAATAATAATTATAGAAGGGGTTTTGTGGAGATTTAGTATTTATCATTGTTGAAAGCGTGAGTCAATTGAAGCTAGACCACCATGGAAAACCTGGAAACACTGGACGGCCGTTTCGTCCTATTATGGGACTCCTCAGCAGTGCGCATCCACGAACCTGCGCTCGCGAGCGAGATTCGAACCCAGGACCTACCAGTCTCGAGCCGAAGCCCTTAACCGATAGACCACTGAGCTGGCATCCAACGGTGTTAATGTCTAACTTCAACTGATCCACGAAGTTGAGCAGCCATTCACCAATTGTCTTCAGTGAAGGTTGCTCAACTTCGTGGATCAGTTGAAGTTAGACATTAACATCGTTGGATGCCAGCTCAGTGGTCTATCGGTTAAGGGCTTCGGCTCGAAACTATTAGGTCCTGGGTTCGAATCCCGCGAGAGTGGGTTCGTGGATGCGCACTGCTGAGGAGTCCCATAGTAGGACGAAACGGCCGTCCAGTGCTTCCAGGTTTTCGATGGTGGTCTAGCTTCAATTGACTCACGCTTTCAACAAAATAATAATAATGTCAATTAGTTAGTTTAGTTTTGTATCAACGCTACAGATTTTTTTCCTCAAAGATAAAGCTTTTAGTTGTAAATACGTTAAAGACACTGAAAAATGATTCAACACATATCTCTCAGGATTGATCGAAAAATTATGTTGTGTATATGTGGTTTTTAAAGTTGAAAAATAAGTATATATATATATATATATATGCTATTGTACAACCTTGAAAATGAATTCGCCGAAAAGAGAACTCTTAGCTGGAACAATCTTTCTCATTTTATATGTCAATGGATATATACCGTTTACTATGTAAAATTAATTCTCGATTCATGTTTCTTATAATCCGTTTAGTCATAGAATTCTTACTAGGATAATCAATCGAAGTCATTAGTGAACATTAGAAACTGACATAAACTGGAGTGAGATGAATCATCTTTGTAAATAATCCATTCACCTCACAATTATTCATTGTAACTGTGACCGTAAACAAGAAAAATTTCAATCTTAACTTATTTACATTTTGATTAATAGAGAAACATATTGAATTGTTCAAAGTTCTGATAACTGTTACCTAATGTTTATTTCTAATAATCATATTTCAAAATATTTGATTTTTTTACTTTTAAAAAATGTTATTGTTGTATCCCGTGGAGAATTATGAATGGTGACTTTGAGAACTATTTATGGACCGATATGATATGTATATTTCCTATTGTATAATTGTTAAGTAATTAAACTATTCATGTTCGTGTCCCCCGTATTATAAACTTTATTTTGACCTATAGACTATTATTATACGATTTACCATTTTTGAGTTATACCCCGTCTATTAATTACTGTTCCCCCTATTTACAGCCACATTCGGCTAAATCTTGTACAAATGTTATTTTTTATTTTATGTTACGATGTGGTCTGTTTGATTGATATATAAACCCCGTATGTTTGTGAATAATGATTCATATTGCAGAGACTGTTATTGGTGTTTTGGACTTAACTGGCTGGGCTAGGCAGAAAGCAAGACTGATAAGTACTCAAGATAGCTCATACAGTTTTGTGTATCATTGCTCCGATCGATAATTCGGTCTTCTCTCATTGGTGGGAATCGACACGTTCATATATCAAACAGGGCATGCACGCAGCCACACGTTATAACAGTTATCAAAATTAAAATGTAAATTTTGATTAACATAATTTTTGACATTTTGTTTTAAAATAGAAAATTTTTTTTAAATTCTAATAAATTTTAACTTACACTAATCCAAAACAATCAAATGGCCATGGAATATCAAGAGTTTTTTCCATCGTTAATTTTTTTCTTTTTTTTTGATTTATTGTTGTATTTTCTGATAAGAGTTGATGAGAAAAATGAACTTTCAATAAACTAGATTATTTTCCATGTTATGTAAATTGTTTTCGTTAAAACTTTTATTTAGAGAAACAAAAAGATGATGGAATTTACAGTTTAATGGTAATTTAAAACGAAAAAAACTGATACACATTAATATTGTTTAAAAGAATGATTAGTTTTTGAATATTTTAATAAAATTAAAATCATTACTCAAAACTCATTAAATAAGTAGCATGAACATCAGGATCTTTTTAAAATGATCTTTCAAAAACCATTGATTTGTTATGTTTCATTTTCAAAATTAGCTATTTGTCATTTGAAAACTAATAAACTGATTAGTTAATATGGTTGAAGATTTGTAATAATTAACTTAGCTTTCGAGATAATATTTTATCACAGACTGCCATCAGTCTAGAAAGCTTCTAAAAATCAAGAAACCCTTGACAGTTACATCATTCTGAATAGAGATTTATAAAAAGTAGAAAACCACATTTTCATTAAGATTCAAAACTCATGATATTCAGGCTGTGATCATTAAAACTAGAATGATCACACGTTTCGAGTACACCCTAGATTTCAATGATTCTTCGGCTGATTGACTGAAATTCTCTCTAACTTAAACTTTATTTCGTATAATAATCAGATTAATTATTTCATTACATCAAGGAAAATATTTCTGTAAGTGTATCTAGTAGATGAATTATCATAAAAATATATAAATTTACAATAAAAAGTATGATTGAAAACCTTTTCTATATTTGAAAGGAATTTGTGTAAAATTCATCCTGGACGATTTTATTACTTTTTTATTTAAACACATAAATGTTGGAACAAACGGGCACCAGATATATATGCGCCTCACAAATCTCATTCGATTTGTGTGAGGGCTGTGATACTGCCCAGGTGCCTAAACTGAAGCAGGTGGTTTTCTTAGGGGGCTACACTCGGAGCCTTTGACCTGAAGGTCTGATCCACAAGGCAGTGGATCATCGTGAGGAGATGCAGTTCCATGGTAGCCGGTGACCGACGATTGGTCCATACGCCATTTGTTCCTTCAGGATACTGGAGCCCATGTGCACCATTGGTTTGGAATCAGGGTTTTCCAACTCCCTTAGGTAGATCCTCCATGTTCATCACCAACCCGGTTAAAGCGTCTGAGATTCGCTTTTCGTCCTCTCAATTTTGTAAACAACACCCTGGTGCTAGAAGGCAGTGAGTAGGACTTCCCTGTCAGAGGCTATATGTGCGTGGCCATGTGAGAGCATTTCAAGAGGGATAGCAGACACACCACACTCTCGGCCGTACCAGAGCATTTGGGGGCCATCCTGGACGATAAAATAAAACAAAGCAAAATTTGTTAATAAAATCTTGGGATTACTTTACAAAATATTTTTGAAATAAGTTTTCAATGTATAAGTTTTCAATGTATTTTTTTTACCTGTATTAAACTCAACTACATAGCAAGGAGTTTATGTTTGTAACATGGACATAATTCAAATAAAATTAAATAAATAAAACTATAGAACAAAACATGATGGATTTGTCATGAAATAAGATAGAAATTATTAGTATGTGTTTATATATTTCCGTTGCTGTAACATATTTATCTGATTAGTATTAGAATCATGGACGTATGTTACGTCTTATCAGCGACTTATCAGATGGGTATTTCTGTATTCAAGTGTTGATTTTCACATCGAAACTCAAACCTAATACTATTTTACTCTAAACACACAACATGCTATCTACTGGACTTATTAGTTCAGATAGCTCTGTTATTAACTAACTAATCAATTTTTTATTCGATAAATTAAAAAGCACAGCAACAATAAACAGAACTTCTGGTTAGATAGACATGTGACATATGTCTGAAAATGATCATCACATATGAAAAAAATACAAAGTCAACTAGATAAATTAGAAGGTAAGAGGAAACAGAAATTATAAAGTACACAAGAAGGAAACCAATATGGATAAAAAATCTGTAATACTACAGTAGATTAAGGGTAAGAACAAATTGTTTCTGAACACATATTTGGGTTTCAGTTTTCGTAAAACTCAGGCTTCAATAAACTGTAGTATATGCCCTTGCAAACCTTTGTACAAAACCACAAACGCTAATTTGATATTAACCTTTTGACAGATCTCAACCAAACGTTTCTCAATGGAGAAAGATATTTGTCTATCCTGGGATCTTGTTCGACCATTAGAGTTTATTTGCTCTTGTATTCATTTAGTTATATGTTCAGCCACCCTTGTGCTGAAATACATGGCTTATAATATAAAAATCTAATATAACCGAAAACTTATTCCAGCATAATGATATTGACAAAACAAATGAAAATTATTTTTTAAATGTTGAATCAAAGTTAATCTTTCCGCCTTTTTGACATTTTCCAAGTAATGATATTTGGTCATTAAAGATCTTAAAAATGGTTGTTCAGTTTAAAACATTGACTAAAATATATCTAGAAGACAATAAGTGTTATTCTATGGTTAAAAAGTAATCCATTTTGAAGATATACCTGTGTTTATGACACAGTATTGTGAAATATCCAGAAACATGATAACCATTCAAAGTGAGTGGTAGGCTTTCAGTAAATGATGTGTCATAATTGAGGAGCCAAACCACCGTTGTTAATGATAAATTCAACAGAAGGAGCCGTTAGGTATAATTAACACACTAATGATAAATACAAATTATTTAAGTCTGCCAAATTCTAAATTATTCAACGTAAGGTGGATCTCCAAATGTACAAGATTTACTTGTCGATAAGTGACATTTTAATGAGTTAACTAAAGGAACGTTTTATAGAATTTTAGTAGAAATACACATTCACATGAATTTAATCGAAAAAAATGGAATGCTACACCCAAATGTTGTTATAAATTACCTTGTAAGTAGTATATATTGACAACATTTGTGTTTAATACGTGGTAGTGCAATAAATATTTCCGTACTTAGTGAGTAAATTACAATTCGGAGGTATTCGATAATGTGGTTACCTAAATCCTAAAAATTTGACATAGTATATTCACAAATTACGCTTATCAGATGTTATCAAAACCAATCTTTCATTGTACATAACCATTTCACATTATGACTGGAATCATGAAGTTTATTGAATTGCAATAATCTTTAGAAAGAATCAGTCACCTCAACCTTTTCATCCAAGATATTTATCCATACAGTGAGTCGACTAACGACCCCTTATTAAAAATATATAAATATTGGAAAAGTCCTTAAATAATATAAAATCACCCTGTTATAAAATTGATGAAGCATTTAATTCACTAAATCTGTTATCTTGATTTGTTGTGATAAATCATTATTATGATACATAAATATTGATTCTATACATTGAATTATTGATTTGTCAGTAGTGAGTACTACTAAGTTAAATCAATACAATCAGTTGTTATAAACTTAATTTATGCAAGATACAGTTTTCAGTCGATTCTTAGCATCAAAATAAATCTCGATTTGGTAGTCTTTTTGTTCTTCACTTATTTCAATGTCAACCAGAGTCAGCCAGTCAGTTAATTACAACGTAGAACTTCGTACGTACGTACATCAGTTCGAGTTACCATACCACATTAACACAGAGATGCAGTTGTCGACTCAAATCTCATTGTGGTAGAAGTAGTAAGAGTATAAGCAGTAAACGGAAAGATTAGGGTTTGAAGATGTTATTCAAGGAGTGTAACCCAGTGAAATAAATTTGAAAGAGAAAAAAAGATAGGGATATGAAGAATTCAGAAGATTAGAATTCGGGAGAACACAAAGAGTGGATACAACTTCGCCATTGAAAATGATTTTGAGCCATGTCATTCGAAGTCTCTTACCATCGATTGCTATCATCTCGCGAATCCCAATCACGTAGTCTACACCTACCAACATGGCACAGTCCATTTGTCAGTGACTTCATGTATTTGTGCCACGTTTTCGTCTGGCCGCCCATAGCTTTCTTCCAACCTACTCCTACACCATGAAACATTGCATGTCGGGGCAGTCGGTAGTCGGGCATACGTAACACATGTCCCAGCCATCTCAACTGATGAGGTTCACTACTTCATCAATCGATTTGCCATCCTCACCTAGTACCCGTTTCCTAACAACTGCATTGCTTACTCGGTGGTCCCAGGATATACGAGCAATGCTTCGAGGACACCTATGATCGAACACTAGTAGCCTACGAATATCCCTTACTTTTATCGACCATGTTTCACTGCCGTAAAGTAGGACGGAACGAACTGGTGCACAGTAAACTCGTCCTTTGGTTGCTAGACGGATATCTCGCCTACACTATAAATGACGCAAGTTGGCGAAAGCTAGACGAGCCTTCTGTATCCGTGCTGAGATTTCGTCACACACCAGACCACAAATGCGGATGAGACACCCAAGATAAGTGAAGCGGTCAATACGTTCAACTACTTCACTCCCTATCATTAGTTCAGGTGTCGCTGCAACCTAATCCTGAAGTAACATTTTGCGTTTCGATGGGGAGAATAGCATGGTGAGCATGTCTGCAATGTCAACTTTGTATCAGTAAGTAAAGTATTGAAAAAAACTAAATATAATTGTACTATTCCAAAAATGAATGAAGAAAATTACTAATCAAATGATTTTGTAAAGTCTCTTCAACATTTTATATATAACAGTCTTAACACTGATCAATGAAGTGATGTCAACCAGGTCACATCATCGATGCAATGAGTTATTGATTAGTTAATAGTGAGTACTACTAAGTTAAATCAATATAATTAATTGTTATAAATTTAATTTATGCAAGATACAAATTTCAATGTATTCTTAGTGTCAGAATAAATATAGATTTGGTAGTTTATTTTGTCCTTTGCTGATTTCACTGTCTACCAGATCACTTCATCGATCAACGTTAAGACAGTTATATAAAAAATTGTTGAAGGGACTTTACAAAATCAATTAAGTAGTACTTTCCTTTCATAATGGTATATTTTGTAATCTCACATATCACCATGAAGTATACAAGTGTATAGAATCCTTGTATAAAATGATTATGATAATAAGAATACTAACATTCATAAATACAAATGATAATATTCTATATTAAAACTGTCACAGAGAAAAAAAACGAAGTTTTAACCAAACTATGCTTGTTTTTTATATAAATGAACAATTCAAATCTTATTTTTTAAAAACACAATAAATATATATTGCACTATTCATTACCGATAACGGAATTCCTGCTGAAGGTCCAGTTAATTATTCTTTTTTTTATTTATATAATTCCAATATAAATTTACTTTATTTCTCTTAACAATAGAGATATGATTATTTTAGTATATATATATATATATATACATATATATATATATATATATGTTATTACATAATAATAAGTATCCAATTAAATTCATTTATTCCAATTTAAATAATCGATTTCAAAAATCAAATGATTTTTATGTTTAACTAAGCGTAGATAAGTTCGATTTAAACAAACAATATTATATGTTAAATAATTGTTTACTAATTAATAAAGATTCTAGTTTTATTTTATTTTATAGTTAACTATGATGAGAAAATAAATTGAATTGATAATGCGGTGTATGCTACTGATGTTGATAGATATAAGTAGTGTGTATCATCAGTTGAAAGTGAAATGTCTAGTAACAGAAAGTTAAAAAGATCGTAGAAAAGAAAACGAGAACAGAGAAGGATTGGTCTGGAAACAAAAGAACAAGAAAGTTTGAGACAATTGATTGAAAATTTGCAAATGAAGCATTTACTGTATGGTTCTCAGATTTTACTAAGAAATTCTGTGATTTTGTGTTCAAATACATTCGATTATCCCCACTTGTGTTCTCGTTCACTACAATAACCAATGATTCAGGACAAAATTATATATATATTTTTGTTTATAATATGTAAGGTAATCTAGATGAATGAACCAATAAAAAAATGGGTGATCCAGTCTAATTTCTATTAGTCAAAGTTAAATATTTCTTTTTAACATTGTCCTGTGATACTTTACTCATCATGAGTAACATTTTAAAACGTTTTCTTTTAAGTTTATGATGAGAAAAAATTTATAACTCTTCAAGATATAAATTAAAAATATTCCTAAAACAAATACCTCCAAAAATGTATAACACAACAAATTGAATATTTAATTAAATATAATACAATTATTCTTTAAATTAAACTGAACTCCAAGAAACTTATATTTATTTAGAAGTATAATCTGAGTTTGAATTATTTATAAGAGTTTAAAATAACCTATTAACCAGACTATATACTGTAACAAGGAAGAAGTATTGGAATCCTACGTTTTCATGTAGAACAATTTATTTAGTAATATCCAAAAGTAGTATATATTAGCTGACAAATGTTAATAGATAACAGTATACAACAGATTAAACATACATAGTGATTTTTTGAAAACTATAATTGATCATTGTTTTTTCTTGCCATCGTGTTGGATTGATGATTTTTTCATTGGTGATGCATTTTTTAAAGAATATTTATGATGTTAGATTTTTTTCTTGTTTCTCATGAGAACAGCGAAAAAATGTTATTACTTGAGAATTCAGTTGTTTGATGGATGTTTTACATTACTCCTATTTAGTTTACTCAATACATAAATTTTTAATTCTTTTATATTGCATATATAAATGGTAAACAAATATATTTTCATAGTTGAAATCATGAGTCAATTGAAGGTCGACCAGCATGGAAAACCTGGAAGCAGTGGACGGCCGTTTCGTCTTATTGTGGGACTCCTCAGCAGTACGCATCCACGATCCCGTCTCACGAGATTCCAACCCAACACCGATCAGTCTGAGGCGCGAGCGCTCAACCACTAGACCACTGAGCCGGCATTCAACGGCGTTAATGTCTAACTTCAACGGATCCACGAAATTGAGTAACCATTCACCGATGTCTTCAGTGAGTTGATATCTCCCAACAGATCTGGTTGAACTCCAGCTGCTACTGCTTGTTACTTGTTATGGAAATATCATCGGATATTTCATTTCATTTTAACCATTTGTGAACAAACACAGTGTTTCATTTTTAAAATAAAGTTCTGTAACAAAATTACTATTGAAATATTTTACTTGTAATGTATGCCATAAAGTGGAATTTTTTGTTTATAATATGGACAAGAATTTTTAGGTATTTTAATCTATTCGCCTTCTATAAAATAATAAAATAATAATCCAAGCCTAGTAACCAATTATTACTTAAAAGTATGGAATATCCGCTAACTTAAAAATCAGCTGATCTTTTCTCAGGAGGTAGATTTTGTAAAACTGAAAGCAATGTAGAATATCACAGTGTGCTTTTATTTGAGTATTCATAATTGTGTGACAAAAACAATATTAACTGGGCTAGTCGGACTCGATCTGAATTTAATAAGTAGTTGTAGGTTTTCATCGTGGATATAAACTATCTAGAATATTAGTAAAAATCAGGAAGCACTGAATAGGTGTTTTATATGAATATAAAACTCTTCACTGAACTCATACCCAGGATACACCCACATGTCGACTTCACGACTTTCCAGTCTCAAAGAAAGGGTTTAACATTTATATCACTTAGCTGGAGTTCACTGACTCATATTTCCAATCCAAGTAACTCAATGATGCAGCTCGATGAGCATGTTGTCAATATACAATCGAATTTACTGGAAAGTTTATATATATATATATATATATTGCCTATAGTTTTTCCTGATGTCTAAACTTTTAAGTGAATTTTAGCAATTATATTGTCATGAAATTCACGGTTTTTGATTGTTCCTTTTGTCCTTTGTAGATAAATTTAAGCTATCAGTTTAAAATTATCTACTGAAACGAAGCTATATTTTAAACTAAGATTTGATTTTCTTTCTTGATGAATCAATTAATGACAAAAAGGTAGGACCCAATCACAATTAAGGTCTTTTTGCTAAGGACTAAATCTATGGAGTAAACTTCAGCAACAATCATTATCAGAATGTTAAATCTTTTACGGTATGAACAAGAATATTATTACGCGTAGCTTCAATCCACACTAAATACTGACTTAAAGTCAACTCTTGTAAACTTGATATTTATACTCACATTTTAACAAAGTATGAGTTACTCATTGTAAGCTTATCTGTCTGTAATATTGAGTAAAGATATTATTTTTTTCTGTATCGTTAATTTAAGTCATTGATAAATTATAAGAAGTAATAAACTTAATTCAATCATTTTCTAACAAAGACTTCAAGAAAACTTTCACAAATATCTATCTTTGGATGCTTCACTATGTTTCATAATGAAAACGAAATGTTATGTATATCAAGTACAATATCAGCAAAACTATAAAACGTTTTCTTTGTTTTCACATCAATCATTTTTGTAATTATAAATTCATTCATTTTGAATAGTTTTAATTTGACAGATAGAGTTCTGTACACAATAAGCAATGAATAAAACGCATTTCTTCTATCAAACAACATTGTTTGATTAGTGATATGATGGAGTGAATCAATATAGTAATATTAAACAGTCTAAACTGAACAATATTAATTAACAATGAAGATGGAAGCTTATTCCCAGTACCCTAAATTTTACCAAGTCATGGAAATATCAATAGACTACAATTGTCCTTTCATCTAGAAAAATTATTTTTATTTATCTAGTTAAAATACACTTTATGTATGCACACTTTTGATTGATTAAAAAGTAAGATCATAATGTATCAAAATCACTTAAGTTGATTGGTCCGATAAATTGGATAGATTAGTATAATAGGATCATTCAGCTGTTATATCGTTCATTGTAAGTCAGAATATAAAGTAGAGAAATGTCTATCATTTCCAAATGATTGTTCATCAATATAAGGAATAAACAACTATAATTCAAGTAGGAAATAGTTTGCATTAATTTACCTGTTTATTTTATGCATAAACGTAAAAAGGTTGATCTTATAATACTTGAACTAAATCAATATCATAAACTCTAGTACCAATCATGTATAGCATCAGTCAATAATGTATAATTAACATTTGAACATTGTATTGGTCATTATTCAATGAGTATGAAGTGATACATTGTATGAATCGATGTAAGTACATGCTTACATAGATACATATTTACATAAGTTAAACTAAATATTAGTAATATAATGACCTAAATGGTTTCGAAACAAAAAATCATTTATTTTAAATATATAGAATTTTTTTCAGAAAACATTAATTATGAATAATAAAAGTTATGTCACTTGGATAATTTATTTTTTTATCCCTACTTCATTTTGTTTCGAACGTTTGTGAGTAGTTTACTTTATTAGACAAATCTTGTCCTGATTAAATTATTTTAGTGAATTAAAACAACTCATCATCTGAAGACTGGTTGTTTCTAAGTCTGTCCATTCAAACAAATGTCAAGGTAAAATGTGTTAATCAGAATTGTTCACTCAGTTGTTAAACTAATCGGTTATCAACCAAAAGATTTCAGTTTTAAACCTTTGTCAATCTACTTAGGCTTAAGCAGCCAATCTTTGTCATTTATTCACAAACACAAACAAATATGTAGACATAAAGTATGAACTCCAATAGAATGAATAAATTCGTGCTTGATTAATAAATTACATTCATTTTCATGTTGTAACATAGGCTGCATACTTTAGCAACTACTGAATTTGATCAATACGAAATGAACACTAAATATCGACTTAGAATACGCAGATGACATAGTCCTGTTTGGTGAAGACGCTGACAAAATGCAGAGTCTTCTGTTAGAACTGAGTAATAATGTCAGGATGTTTGAGATGCGTTTCTCTCCATCTAAATGTAAATTGTTACTCCAGGACTGGCCTCCGTCAACATCTGAACTAAGGATAGGGAGTGAAGTAGTCGAACGCGTCGACAACTTCACTTATCTTGGAAGTCTGATCAGCCCTAATGGATTGGAATCTAACAAAATCACAGCACGGATTCAAAAAGCTCGTTTGGCTTTTGTCAACTTACGTCACCTATAGCGAAGACGAGTATACTGCACAGCAGTTCGTTCTGTTCTATTTTACGGCTGCGAAACGTGGTCATTAAGAGTAGAAGATACTCGTAAGTTACTAGTATTTGATCATAGATGTTTTAGAACTATTGCCAGCATTTTCTCGAATCACTGGGTAGATAATAGTGAGGTCAGAATCACGCTAATAAGAAATAATTATAAATCAGTTGGTGAGGTTGTGAATCTTCATCGACTGAGATGGTTTGGCCATGTGTTGCGTATGCCTGAACATCGATTACCACGACGCGCAATGCTGGCTAGTATTGGGGTTGGTTGTAAGA